GATGCAGTCAAGCACAGCCAGCCTTGCAGGGACAGCAGGGCTGGCTGGGGCCACAGCCACCCATGGCCTCATGTTCCCCCTGGGGGTGGCAGTGGCTCTGTGGCTGCCCGTGGTGCCCCTGCTCCTTCTCCACAGGGCCAAGCCACTGGAAGGAGCTGAAAGCCACATGCGGTGGTGACAAGCAGTCCCCCGTGAACATTGACAGGCGTCGGCTGCAGCGGGATGGTGGCCTCGGGGATATCCTCTTCGAGGGCTACGACCAGGCTCCCCCCGGCAAGTGGAGGCTGACAAACAATGGGCACACAGGTGTGTTGTGCAGCCAGACACCTTCCCCTAACACAGCTCCCTGGTCAATATCCCAGCTGGGACTTGGCTCTGCTGCCACTTCTGGGGTGCTCCTGCTGCGGGGTCCCATGTGGCTCCTGCTCCGTGGGTTTGTGTTAGTGCTGGGATGAAACTGGTGAAGAAGGAGCCCAGGTGTGCCAGGGCTGTCCCCCATCCTAAGTCCCTCTCTCACCCTGTCCTGCTGCCCTTGCAGTGATGCTGAGCCTGGCAAGTGAGTTGGCCTCTGAGCACATCACCATCAGCGGTGGGGGACTCCCTGGCAGGTACCGTGCACTCCAGCTCCACTTCCACTGGGGCAGCCCAGCAGGGAATGGTTCTGAGCACACCCTTGATGGGCGCCAGTTCCCCATGGAGGTAGGTGAGACGAAGCCACCATCATGCTCTGCGTGGCCCAAGTCCTTGGTGTGGTGGGAAGGGGTGATGCTGGGGCATCCCAAGGATGCCACACAGCAGGTGACTGAACTCCATGACACCGCACTGGCAGGTTCAATCACACTCCTTCAGAGGCACCTGGGTAGTAAAAAAAGCAGCTGACATAAGACTCAAGGTGCTTCTTGACCTTGCATGGGCCAAGCTGCCTTGTCTGAGGCACTTAGCAGGGTTTGGGTAGCTCTGTGCCCCTCTGGGACCACACACTGAGTTAGTGAATGCAAGTGAGCGCATGCAGGAGTGCACTGTGCCAAGCATGTCAGGATCCTTCTGGGTGAAAGAGGCTCTGTGCCTCTAAAATATTCATTATCTGCCAGAGGAAAGCAGAATTTATGTTTTGTGCCTGGCGAGCACCCTGGGACTGCTGCCCCCCATTTGCATGCCCTTCAAAGGATGCTCGCTTTGCTGAGATGCTTTGATCCTCCAAGCAGCTGCCCCACAGAAGTGCCAGTGGGACCAGGAGGGCTTCTCTGGGGGTGGCTGGCTCAGTGTTTGACCACCCTAGGCTAGCCGGAAGGATCTGTAGGAGAGTGCTCCACTGCCAGGGGGTTGACCGGGAGTGGTTGTCTTGTCCATGCTTGGCTCCTCTGTGCTTTCCTCAGCTGCATATTGTCCACATGAATGTCAAGTACCGGACGCTGGCAGAGGCCAAGGGGCATCCCAATGGGCTGGCTGTCCTCGGCTTTTTCTTTCAGGTAGGTCTGTGGGAGCTTGTGCTACAAGCAAGAGTGACCTCCTAGAAACAGTCTGACATTGATACAGTTATGGGAGCATTTTATGGGTGCCCTGGGGGAGCAAGAAGGGGCAGGAAGGTCGGGTCAATACCAGGAGGTGCTGGGGAACCTCAGTGGTGAAACATACTGGGAATATGCAAGGGGGTACTGTCTGGGAACCCTTTCCTGCTGCTCTGCAGCAATGTGGGGCTGGGGCCAGCTCTGCCTGTGGATGCTCAGCAGGACAGGATGACCCAGCTCTGCCCTGCCTGGGCTCTGCCCTGCCCCAGCTGCTTATACTCCTTATCCACAGGTCTCTGAAACCCCTAACACTAACTACAACACCATTGTGGCGGGTCTGAGGAATGTCTCCCACTCTGGTGAGTTGCCTCATTGGGAAAAGGTGGAAAGGGGAGATCCTGGTATGGGAGGGCAGAGGTGAGCCCTGGTGGGCTGTGTGGGAGGACCTGCCAGTCCATGGGGCCATCTGGCTGAAGGGAAACTAATGGATGTGGCCCTGCTGTCCCCATCATATCCCTGGCATGTGAGGGACTGTGTCTATGTCTCACCCCACAGGGGACTTTGTGGATTTGGCCTCCACCTTTCGCCTGAGCACTCTGCTGCCACGTACTAGATGGCTCTCTGGGTACTACCGCTACCAGGGCTCCCTCACCACCCCTGACTGCAGTGAGGTCGTTGTCTGGACTGTCTTTGAGGAGATGGTGGAGATTGGTCGGGAGCAGGTACTGGGGTGTACAGCCCCACACTCCAGAACCTAAAAGGCTGGACCCCCTGCGTGGCCCCTCTCCTTGCCTTTCCTGAACCCTAAGCAAGAGCACAGGGAAGGTCATCTTTGTAATAATGCTCCTGGCAGCTTGGCAATTAATTAGTTTTACGAGGGTTAAGCAATGGAGCTGTGGCCACCTGCCAGCAGGGAGAAATCCCATCCATAGTGGTCTCCTGCCCAGCTTTGGTATTCAGATAGAGAAATGGAAGTGAATCCATTGGAACTCAGTAGAAGCTCCAAGGAGGTGGGTGGGTGGACAGATGAAGTGCTCCTCTGCTGCCCAAGCACCTTAGTAGATTTGTCTCCTTGAGGGAGACTCTTTGAGTGCTTAGTGCTGGCACCAAAACACAATTAGCTCCTTTAAACCTTGAGACCTGATACTTGTAGGAACCTGCCTCTGTGCTTACCTACAAGTCTAGCTTCAGGAGAGCAGTAGTGGATGGTGGGAGGACACCCACCAGTGCAGGGCCGTGCCATGGGTCCTGTGACAGTGGCAGTAGGGCAGTATGAAGGGGGTTTACAGGGGGCAGGGGCTCCAGGTGCCTGGCAAAGCAGCTGCCCCCCCTGCATCTTTCCCTGTGCCGCTGGCGGCGCTCGCTAGCCGACAAATGGATCCAAGCTCCTAAAAATGATCAACAACTTTCGCCCGCCGCAGCCCCTCCGCAACCGCAAAGTCTTTGCCTCCCGGGGGGCCACAGCCAGCGGTAGGTCCCTGCATGGAGGCCACCACCAGCTCCTCTCGCTCCTGCTCCTCCTGGCTCTGCTTGGCTCTTTCTCACCAGCCCTGTAGGATCTGGCCCAGCCTGTCGCCATGTGTCACGTGTCCCACCAGTCTCCATGTGAGCATCACCCTGCTGCAATGGAGATGAGGAGGCTATACATCTAGTTCATGGGAAATGGGAAAAAAAACCCCAGCAAAAAGCATGTTGAGACCTTGGCTGGGTGAAGATTTTATGAACCTGGAATTTCTGCAGAAGTGGATCCTTGTAAACCTGAAGCTGCTCTGTGATGCCCCTGAAGCCAGGCAGTGGGAGCTGCTGAGAGGGGGATGCTGTAGGGGCTGCAATAAAGCCAAGGTCCTTGCCAGTGGCTAAAGCCTCTGTGTCCCTTTGGCATCTGGGCAGGGTGTTTGGCACAGCACTGTGGAGTCAGTGGGGAGGGAGTCAGGGGATGGTGTCTGGGTGGGACTTGGGGATACTGTACCCTGCATGGTGATGCTGGTGGCCATGGCCTGGCTCAGGGTCTGTGCAGTCCCTGTGCTGCAGACACTACCCCATCACTTTTTCCAGGATTGAAGCTGGCTGTTGGAGAGATGAGGTTGTCACTGGGGGTACAGCACCCACAGTGCCCTTGTGCAGCTTGCAGGGAACTGATGGATCTTCCCATAGAGCTCATTTTGCACTGGCAGGAATAGCTGCAGCTGTTGGTGCTGCCTAGCCAGGCAGGGGCAGAGCTGTGTGAGTGGGGTGGTTTATAATTAATGTACTGGAGCTCCAGGCATTTTCCCATCTCCTCCTGAGTTATGGATGAAGAGTACAGGCCGTTATCAGGGAGCAGAGTGGGGCTGACTGAGGTTTTCATCATTTCTGGAATGAACCACTGCCAGCATAGGGCTCCTGAGCATCCCCTGTGCACAAGGCCCCGTGCCGCTGGAAGATGAATCTGCGGGAAACACGCAGCCCAGTCGCAGACCTCCTGATCCGCACGCCGGGGTGAAGGGACTCTGTGATACCCCACCGGAGATCAGGGCTGGAGCTCCGAGTCCGCCGCGCCGCGGGGACACGGACACGCG